TTTGTGTTATACAGCAATTAACAAAAGTAAATTTAAAGCAATGTATAAAAGAAACTAAACAAAAAATGAAACGGTTTTTCACAGACAATTCAATGTTTCTCATTCAATTAATTCAGTTCTCACTTCACGACAAGTCAAAAACGCATAAAAATTCAAAATATCTATATTAAAAATTACGAAGTAATCTTAAACACTTATTTCCTGGAATAATTCCAGAGGAGGATTAAGATGACTTAATTCGCAATAATAATAAAGAAGGTTATCTTGTTTTGCCGAAGCTAGTTTCTCTAGATTGGAACAAATCCACTATTCATTTATAAAAAATATATTTCTTTTTTTATTTTTCTCTGGCTACAGTGGCTTCGAAAAATAAACTGAACCCTGTAGGCAACGGGGCAAAGAAATTTTGATCGGCACAGTTGGACTATAGCAGGACGAGGGGGGGATTTTCATCAGCGCAGTTGGAGTACACCCGATAATAAAATAACTTATTACACTGCTGTCTTTATCAACACACACTGAAGAATGAGTCTATTTCTACTTCCATGTCCTAGACATGTAAATTCCAGATGGTATTGTTTTCAGACTCTGAATTCATTCCTTTTTTATTTACTTTAAAAATAAAGGAGAATGGCTAAGATTTTAAGGGCTGAATGACCAGTCTGGCACATGCCAATAGTACCAACATTAGAAACTCCAGAAAATGAAAAAGCCCACATTTGGATTCAAGGATTAGATTGAAAGTTATGCAAATGATTCAAAAGTTTAAAAATCATATAAAGAATTCTACTAAGGTAAATACAGTTAACACTGCAGTTGATGACCAATGGACTGTACATTAATTTAACATGATTCAGCTTTAACAATAAAAAAATGGGCTCGCTTTTCTTTCTTTCTTTCTTTTTTTTTTTTTTTTAGTGTTTCAACAAGAAGGACCTAAGACAGACTACTCTTGAAATCAAAAGAATTTGGGGTACTTTCCGATTATTCGCACCTCTACCAAGAAGTCATAGAAAAGTGTTCTTAGGCAGTGGTGTAGCGAGAGGGGGAGCAAGGGCGTCTATTATAGTCTGGGCGCTTGTAGACGGGCACCAAATGGTCCCCAAGATAAACAAAATTTTCTGGAATTTTTTTATTTTGATCAATTTCTAGGAAATGAGTTTTAAATCAATAATTATTGTAATATAATTATTTCCTTTCTTGGTTTGTTTGATGAAATATAAATAATGTTTGCAGTAAATCAATCAAATACCTCCCTATGCAAAACGTTCTTTCTTCTTTCTTTCTGAACACTTTATTTTTGTAAAATAGTGAAATATTTTTTATTTTAGTATCTCTCTAGTTGCTCACACAAATCCAGGCATCTCTTATTTTGGCAATCATTTTCCAGTTTCTGGCCTTTAGAATGCTTAGGTTATTTTCAACACAATTCATCCATCTCACTGGGGTTTCCTATGGGCTTTTACAGAAAGATGTTCTTGCAACACTGATCTTCAGACATTTTGGACAGATGACTACTCTATTTAATTCACTGTAGTTTGGAGAATTTTATTACAGGTTGTCTATAGATTTTGTATAGAAATTATATCTTCTGCATGATCCATTCACATGGACCCCACCAAGTATGTAATGCAAAATCATTCTCTCAAAAATTCCCAAAGCCTCCTCAACATGCAAAGTCAGAGCCCAGCCACAGCAGAATGTGCCATAGATCACCATACCATAACTCCTTCTCAGCCATGTTTAACACTTGGTACTAAGTTTTGCTTCTGAAATTCCTCTTTGGGTTTTCTGCATACAAAACACTTGCCCATCTGAGTCGAAGATATTAAATTTGCTTTCATCAGAAAACAACACTTATTTCCAGTAGTCAGGTGTCTTTTTTTCACTGATTTTGTGAATGCGAGTCAAAGTTTTCGATTTTTTTACTGGCATAAAATTTTTTTCTTGCTACTCGCCCATGATATCCTGCAGATCACATTACTCTTCTTATAGTTTCTGGATTTACACATATTCCATATAATTCACAAAGTCCAACAACAAGTTTAAGAGGACTCAATCTTAGATTATTTTTAACATTCCTTAAAATAAAGAGTTTCATTCCATGAGATAACTTAGATGGTCTTCTTTTGTTTTGAATACGATTCTAATTTTTATAATGCTTAATAATATCAAAAACTGTAAAATCACTTTAATTAAGTAAATAGGCAATTTTTCCCAGTAGTTTCGCTTTCTTCTGATGTAAATCAACAACTAATCTGCAGGTTTCTTGTGGTGTTTCCTTTCGTGACCAAGCCATAGTAGTAAAAATAGCATTGTGCCCAGGGCTGTGGATTCGGTACAGAAAATGACCGACTCCTGGAATTTTAAAGACTCTGACTCTCTCATATATTGGGTTATATAAAAAGTCTTTGCGTTTTTTGCCACTAGTTGGTGTTGATGCCTATATATCCAGCAACACTCAACCGATTGTCTCAAACGAACATGTGCTAGCTTATTACAGCTATTATGTTACAGCTTATTATTTTTTTTAATATAAAAGAAGTAATAGATGCTACAAAAAATTACGGCATAGCAGATTATTTATATTAATTAGCATTTATTATGAAATAGAAAAACTGGCATTAGTAATTTCTAAGAAACAGTATAGCTTCGGCAAGATTTTCTTTGATAAAGGACCATATATCCGATTTGATAAACTTCACAGCTGAGAATAGTCTTTCCACACAATCTTCAATAGGAGGAAGAGTTGTTCATATTAGGGCTACTTATTTTAACTCTTCAGGATAGATTTGAGATTAAGTTCTAAAGAGGTGTCTTGCAAGAACATTCATATTTCTCTATTTCTTCCAGTGATATGTAAAAATCTTCTTCGTATTTTTACATCTATCTTCTCTTGGATCTTTATTTTCATTCACTTTCCTTAGCCTTTTAAATATTATCCAAATATTTCTCAAAATCTAATTCATCAATGGAAGAGGATGATAGACACTCAGTTGCAATGTCTGCAGTCTGTTTTGATTTGAATACTCTAGTTGTTCAGATAATAATTTTATTCTTAGTGAACATTCATAGATGGCTTTTTTTTTTTTTTTTTTTTGCCTTTTTAATTTCTTTGTCATGCAAAAAACATTCGGTGTTTTGGATCTACATATATTGAACACAGAACGATCTCATTGTCTATCTAACTAGTTCCTGTTTTCTTCATTGAGAAAAAGATTCCTTCTGCAATAAGCCGTCCATTTTAGAAAGAACAAATATCACATTTTTCCATTCTCAAAGAAACAAGCCTCTTCTTAATTCTTCAGACTGTAACTTTTTTGTAGCTATATGAGTGCAGAAAGAAGAGTTTCCAATTCTGCAGGATCATTCCACAGTGTTTCTGTTAGTGAAACATCAAGGTTATCTACATCTTCTAAATATTCTTAATGCTAACAACCTCTTAATCATCAAATAGGTACTTCCCCACAACATTGCTTGATCAATAATTTCTCCTTTTCCTGCTCACCTCCTAAGAATGGCATCACTTTTGTGAGTCCTTCCTGCTATTGCTGCTTGCCTAAATTTAATAATGAGATTTGAAGCATTTTGCAGCCACAGGCTCCTTTTCCTTGTTGTGACTTATGCTACAATAATGCCCTCTATGAGCTGTAAAAGTACCTAAATGAATCAGTTTAATGAATAATGGCAAATATCATATCCATCCTCCTCATATTTATTTACCAATATGTCAATCAAATGGAAAGTAACTAAATATTATTTAAAAATATAGTCCATAAATAAAAACTCAGTCTGTCTTTAATTTTTTTTTCAATTCACTTTAATTTCATTTCAAATTGAAACTGTCCAGCAAAAACACTAGTCAATGTGTTTTTAGAGACTCTCAACTCCTTTTACCCAAAAATCTGCCTAACTCCGATTCTGACTTTACAGCTTTAGTTGTGCCTGGTCATTTTTTGTGAGACTCTGTAACTTTGCAATATGTCTCTGTTTATACATTGGCACTTACATATTAAAACAGCCACCTTGGCATAATTTGGCAACCTTTAACATATTAAAACGTAAAACCCATCTCTAATTTTCTAAAGCTCTTCTCCCAATGTATACAGTGATCTGTTATTGGCTTAAAAAAACCAGAGAACTGTACACATTCCACATTGCGCATTGGCTATCTACTAAACTCATGTCATTGCTGTTTTGTCTAGATTTTGGGGCAACACATTATATTTCTGGAGAACCCTTATCACAGTTTCTTCCACTGCTAGCAAATTTCCCATGTATAATAATTCTAAAATCGAGTTGAAGGCAAAAAATTTCACGATTTGTTAAAAAAAAGAACTATTAGAACTTGGAATACAATAAAAGGAACTTGCATAAAAATGGTAATATTGCTTGAGTGAATAATTATAGTGAGCATGGTTGCCACATTCTGAAAATTTAGCAACTTCTACTGATATGGTTGTGCTAATATGCAAGTATCTATACATTTTATGCTCAGGCTCATAGTAAAATTAAAATTGTACGTCCTTGAAAAGTAGAAATTTATTGGTGGATTCTGTTCAGCTGTCAAGATCCACTTACGGAGGACGGGGTAAAAAGCCTTAATTTAAAAATATAATTTTAATGCATTAATTATTTTTAAAGACTTTGTAATTTACTTTTAATTTTTTTAAAGAAATATTTCATATATTTTAGAATAGGAAGTCATAACTTATTATCAGCTAACATTTGATTATAATAATGAGTGGCTCATGCTATATGTTTAACATTCCAGAACTCAGCAATGAAAAGAGTAAATAAACAATATTCAAATTATTTACCACAATTTTATCACATTTTAGTGAAACCTTGAAAAACTTAATTTCACAATGATATTATAGATCACTATTTTTTCAAACAAGTTTCGAATGAAAATTTTGTACAAGTATTATGGCTTTACAGCTTCAAAAACTACTATTGCTACTGTTACTGAAACCAGTAACGGAAAAAAATTAACTTACCACTTCTATAGTTGCATCAACTGTCCGAAACAACACAACTATAAAATGTACAGATGACAAACATAACAGTTTAGCCATGAATCCCATTTCTAAGTTTCTGAAAGAGTAAAATGAAATTGAAATCATACATAATGAAATATATATATAAATGCTTACATACAATTTTACATAAAAACGCTGGTGAAAAGGAAAGCCTATAATAAATGCCTTCATAAATAATCCTCACAGAAGTGAAATTATGTGCTTTAATCACTGTTACGTCACTAATAATCTCAAGTATTTATGGCAAAATTAAAGATAAAAGACGCGTCATCAGGTCTTTTATATAATTCTGTAATAGTTAACAACATATTAAAATCTCAAGATTGAAAACGAATTAGAAACTACTTACAATATTATTTTCAGTCATACGTTTCGGGATGCAAATTTAAATATAAGTTCCTCATTGTAATTACTTATAATTGATTAATTTGTTACTAAAACTGTCATGTCTGATTTAAGTGAATTTCGTCTTAACCTATAATTAATAATCACGTACTAACTGCCCTTCGCTGTTAACTTCATAAACAAAATATTGCCACTTCCATTTCCTGTTTCATTATACCAAAGGAAAGTTGTACGACTACGCTGAGGCACATCAGATAGATGCAGAAGATTACCGGGATTATCGAAGACATCAGTCAAAAATACTTCAGAATTAAGTTTTCAATCTTTAGACCTTAAAAAAATTTTCAAATTGTTTACAAGAGAAGTAACAGTTACAGCAGCATTTATTAAACTTCTTGTGGAATAAGTGGGGAAGTAATAAAGGAACAGCTAATTCAAGTTTTTGAGTACAGCACCAGGTCTTAGTCTGTTTCTTTTTTCACTCATACAGATTTATTACAGATATTTATTTTATTTTCGAGTATCAAGATGTAGAAACATCTTTTTGCTCGGCTTCTGATAACAACCTGGAAAGAAAAGAAAGAAGAATATTGTAGTAGGAGGTGTGGGAGGGGGAAAGAGAGTCAGCTCCGCGCTAGCGCAAGGCCAACTAGATGCCTTGCCTGTAGATATCTAGTTGGACTTGGCTAGCGGCGGCTAACCGGGGAGCGTATTTCCAAACCCTACCCCACTTTTCGAATTTTTGACGTCATGGACAAATCGACTAGTTTCGCCTGGATGGTAATTCTTGAGCATGCGCTGAAGGGCGAGAAGTAACATAAACAGAACTTGGCTTGCACTTGTAAACTATATGAAGTATATTGTCTGAAAGTGCTGTTGAGTGCGTACGGGTTCGTTATGAAATGAATGTACAAGTCCGATGAAAAATAAACAAAAATTTATTATTATCACAACAAAAATGCTTAAATTTTCTCAAATTATCATGCAGTATTACAATATCTCACAGTAGTTATCTTTTAACTACTCAAATGTCCAATTGAACGTAATTCAAAACAGCTAAAGAAAGCTAATCCGCGAATTCGCTATAATCAACAAGAGCAGTTTTCTAAACAACAACAAACTAAGCAACTACTACAAACTGAGATGTTTTCCTCCTTTTATAAGATTTTAAAACCACGCGCTGGAATTTTTCAGTACTTTCTCGAAATCAAAAAGAGATATTTATTTATTTAATGCACGCGCTCTTGTATTTTCAATTTTCCGGCTTAGCTTTCTTTTAATATTCGTCACGCGCTGCACTGCGCGAGAAATAAAACCATTTAATTTATAATTGAACTAACATTAGCTTCTTAAATACCAAATTCGTAACACTGCCCCCTGCCCAAGGACTGCACGTCCCGGGCAGTACAATCCCTGGACAGGAAGCTAAACTTGCAACTGTGGCATAAATGCATTAATAAGCATTACATTACAATAATAAAAACAACATGAACAATAAATGCAATAATAAAACAAATCAAAATGCTATCAAATACAAATCAAATACTAAATGCAAATCAAATACTAAATACAAATCAAATCAATACACATTTAAAACAAAAGGACCATGGTCTTATACTATTGACAATTATTTACATTATGTACTATGGCCATAGTAACGAGCTAACCTGTCGTAATGAACGACTTTAGGTTTAGAGTTCGAAGACTTACGGATCCGAACCACGACGTCGTTCAGCCTGTTTAGGACTGTGTACGGGCCATCCCAAGGTGACTGTAATTTCGGACAAAGTCCTTTCCGTCGAGTCGGATTCCACAACCATACCTTGTCTCCTTCGTGGAATTGATGTTCAGTAGCTCTAGTGTCGTATCGGGTCTTCATCTTCTCCATCGCCAAGTTGACTGGCTCTCGTGCAAAGTTGTGCATCACTTCAAACCGGGCCTGGAGATCTTGAATATATTCCTCAGACGAAGAAGGAGCATCCGGAGGGCGGCCAAACAGTAGATCACAAGGCAGACGAAGATCACGACCGAAGAGCATCTGTGATGGAGAATAGCTGGTAGTCTTGCCTTTCTTTTCGACCCTGGTATGATTTCGGCAGCTTCCCGAGCTGGATCTTTCGGACAAGGCGTCGACATTACCAGGCGAGGATCCCTTTTGAGGATGGATAGTCATGCCATCAGATGCTGAAAGCAGTTTGTTGTTTTTCAAGTCTAAGGAAAAATTGTATTTCCTTAAAAGTCCAATCCGAGTATGCATGGATCTGTGATATCTGCCACATAAGCCGTGTCATGGTAGGCGGCACTTCCAAACATGATGTTTACGTTTAACTTCCCAGTTATGTCGATCTTATCACCAGACGCAGTCTGAAGGGTAACACAGGATGGCGTCCAAATAAGTTTATCTTTAAACTTTTCAGCTAAATCTTTTCTAATAATGGTAACATTAGCTCCTGTGTCAATGATCATATTGCAAAGAACTCCATCGATATTCCCATTAATGGACAGTCCGTTACTGTGTCCACTCACTGTATAAATTTTAAGAGCTTTAAAACAAGGTTTTTCATTCTGTGGCAACCTCAGTTCTTTGATATGGTCACTAATTTGTTTCCTGTATTGTTGCTGGGAACTGGTCTCAATTTTCGTACCCTGGGGTGTTCTGCAATTCTTTCGTACGTGGCCTTCAGCTCCACAGTTCCAGCACTTCGGTTTCTTGTCAGTCCTTTTCTTACCCGTGGCATTGAATTGCCTGCTTAAATCGTATGCCTTAGTTTCCGTGCCCTGGGGTGTTCTGCAGTTCCTTCGTAGGTGGCCTTCAACACCGCAATTCCAGCACTTTAGCGTCGGTTTCTTTTCACCACTATTCCGTCTTAAAGCATTCACTGGGCTTGTCAACTCATTCGTTTTATGATCCGTACCCTGGGGTGTTCTGCAATGCCGTAGTAGGTGACCTTCACTACCACATCTCCAACACCTTAGAGCCACTTTCTTCTCGCTCCTACTCCGTATCAAAGCGTCGACTTGTCGGCCACAAATCATCTAAACGAGCCATCAGTGATCCACTGGCTCATGGACCGCACAGCTCTAACGGGGTAGCGATCTCTACTAGTTGCTTGCTGGGCTGCCTCGAACTTCATGGCGTGCAACAGAGCGCTTTTTAGGTCCTTTACATCTGCCATTCGAAGAGCTTTCTGTATTTCGGGATTCCGGATGCCATCGATAAAGTACTGCAGGGACAGGATTTCCCTCGTTTCTCTCGGGCACTCCGTAAAGGAGAGGTGGGACAGCCTTTCAACATCTGTGGCGAGTTCTTGGAGTGATTCGGAGGGCTTCTGTTGACGGGATTTTAACTGAAGCCTGCTGTAGTCTTTTAAACATTTCTCGTCAAAGCGCAGCTCCAATGCGCCGGATAAAGCTTCGAAGTCAAGCCTTTGGTTTTCTGGAAGCGTCTGCAGGATATCCGCTGCGTCTGCTCTCAGAGAAGCGGCGAGGTGACAGGCCTTAGTTTAGGAATCCCATCCATTTGCATCCGAAACGATAGAAAATTGTGTTTTATACACTTGCCAGGATGTCTTCCCATCATATGTGGATAGCTTCAGAGATGGACGAGCAGGCATCGGTAAGAATTAAAAAACCCTCAGAATTGTTTCTTTCGTTCGCTATGCTCTTCTTTAAAGTGTCAACTTCTTTCGCAACGGCTGAAACCCTATCATCAGTTTGTTGCTCGACGGCAGAAACTCGCTCTTCTATATGTTCTTTTACAGAAGAAAAAAACTCTTTCTTCTATTTCTTCTTTCACCGAAGAAACTCTTTTTCAATTTAAATTTTACGGAAGAAACTTTTTCTTCAATTTGCCCAACTTTATTTTCAACCACATCTATTCTGCCTTCCATAGCATCGAATTTGGTTTATTATGCAGGCAATTTCTCTTTTCATTTCGTATTGACTTCTTCAATCTTTACTTGTACGGCTTTATTTCTGCTTGAACAGATTCCTAACAGCTTTTATTTCGTCTTTAAAAGTTAATTGACCAGCTTGAATGGCCTTTCATTCTCTTCCTTAACGGATTCTTGTCCCGCTTCAATCCTTTCCTGATTAGATTCATATTTTCTTTTCAAACGAGGGGCAAAGGCTGAGATCAACTGCTTTAATTGCTCTTCCATCTTGTTACTGGCATTCAAATCCCACTTCTGACACCAAAAATTGTTGAGTGCGTACGGGTTCTTTATGAAATGAATGCACGAGTCCGATGAAAAATAAACAAAAATTTATTATTATCACAACAAAAATGCTTAAATTTTCTCAAATTATCATGCAGTATTACAATATCTCACAGCAGTTATCTTTTAACTACTCAAATGTCCAATAGAACGTAATTTAAAACAGCTAAAGAAAGCTAATCCGCGAATTCGCTATAATCAACAAGAGCAGTTTTCTAAACCAACACAAACTAAGCAACTACTACAAACTGAGATGTTTTCCTCCTTTATTAAGATTTTTTTAAAAACCAGCGCTGGAATTTTCAGTACTTTCTCGAATCAAAAAGAGATATTTATTTATTTAATGCACGCGCTCTTGTATTTTCAATTTTCTGGCAGCTTTCTTTTAATATTCGTCACGCACTGCACTGCGCGAGAAATAAACCATTTAATTTATAATTGAACTAACAGAGCTTCTTAAATACCAAATTGTAACAGAACTTGGCTTGCACTTGTAAACTATATGAAGTATTGTCTGAAAGTGCTTCGTTTATGTAATGGCATAATTTTACGTTTCTGTAATAAGAAAACTCATTCAGATAAAATTTATTTTAATATTTTTATTATCTGGTTTATAGGATTATACGATATGCTGAATACTCTAGGTACTATCGTAATCTGCATAACCTTTCGCATTGGAGTTTGCCTTATCATTTAAAAATATTGTATTATAAAGATTAAATCAATCCAAATTACTGTTAGAAATGTGAATGTTCTAACTGAATTTTCTTTTTACAACTTATTTTTATTTTCGAGTGAAACACATCCATATTTGACAAATAATTATCTCCGCAGAAAACTTTTTGATTGTTTAAAAACTATATTTGTCATGATGCAATAAAAAACTCACTAATCTAGTGTTCATAGATCAATGTGACAACGAATTCAAAATGTTTTAAAAACAGTTCTTTATCTTTAGTTGAGTTGATGCAAC